GGACACAAAAAGAAAGAAAGAAAGAAAGAAAGAAAGAAAGAAAGAAAGATGTAATGGGTCAGAAAAAGAAAGAGCAAAAACGATGGCATTACAAAAGGGGAAAAGCAGAATGTATCCCAAAGCCACTCTTGTGTAGCAGGTCCTTGCAATTCTGAGCAGCCTCTAATTAGGGTAGTATTCAGGGGTGGCATTAGTTCCCAAACTTTTTAATGGGGTGGAAAGCGGAGCTCCTTTTAGAGAGAGGGGATAAGTGTAGCGACTGTTCCATACACTGAATAGCAGATGGAGAGATTCTGCACCTCCCTGGGAGGTATTCACTCTTTTTACTCTTTTTATTTTTTTTTTTACATTTCACTCCCTGTACTCACCCTCTTTTCCTATTGCTCTCTTTTTCTTCATATTTCTCGACACATTTCACATCAACAGATGTTCTCAGAGTTTACACACATTATTCTTGATCCGAGGGAAAACAATTGAAATGTAGTCCTTCAGTCAACTCTGGCACATTAACAGTGCAATGTGCATTAACATATGCATAGGTTTGCCTCAAAACTATTTTTTTTTTTTACAAATGTATTTTTTATGGATCAAACAGGAATTAATACAAAATTAATTCCTGACCTCACTATGAAAAGGAAACTTTAAAATACTAAATATATTTTAAACTTGTGCCAAGATATACAAAAACGTGGAAACACATAATTTCTAATATGCATTATGTAGGATCTTTTAGCTACATCCTTCCTTTAAAATGTCTTACTTTGAATTTAAAATCCTTTGAAATAAAAAATAAATAAATAAATAAACATTTACATTGCATTTATGTTCTCAGACAAAAAATGTTGTTTTGAATTAATTTCCACTATTTGTGCTATAAATTAAGATCATTATGATAATGATGATTTTTTTTTTAGAAAGTATAATATCAAACAAATTTTTAAAAATCACATAAATAGTCCTCACTGAGGACTTCCGGTTACACCTAATGCAATGCACCTGGAGCTGTAAATAATTAAACATTTTATAGAGGCATAATGAGGCCAGAAACATGACATGTTCACTATTTAACTCTTTTGCCAACTGTTTTTAGTGAGATAAATTAAATGAATGTACAGGTCAACTTGCATTTCTTATTTATTAGTGAAGGGTTATAAAAGTGTAGTTGTTGGCGTTTTTATATCATAGTGCTTGTAGGCTTATTTTATTAACCTTCAAATATTTCTAATTGGAGGAAAAACAAATATTAGTACAAAATTTTACAGCGTGGAGTCATTAATAGGCTAAGATGTACAAAAATGATAGCTCATTAAAGCAACACACCAATGAATATTAATATAACTGTACAGTTATACTGTACAGTACTTTTTTTTTTATTTCATAGCTCAACACATTTAAAGCCAGGAGACATTTATAAAACTTATTTTTCAGTTTGAATCCAAGTAGTGTATTCTCATTTGTTGCCAGTTTTCCATCTTTACAACACATTTGTGAAGTGAGGACAAAAGCTGATGAGGTCAGTGTGAGACTTACTTATTCAGTAGGACCATAAAGGTGTCCAAAGGCAGCCCAAAATGACCTGTTTACCGGCCCTGCAAGTTTTTAACGAAAGTAGCCAAAAGTCTTTACTGCTTCCTTTGAAATATAGATTATTCTCACAGCCTTGAATGCCCCAACACATTTACCCAAAGCCCAAAGTCTTTTATGGGCTGAGTGTGGTGCTTTATCCCCTCTCCTCATGACCTGTGACCCAGCAGGATAAACTGCTAACTGAGCTTCAGTCATGCTCAAGACGGCTGATGCCCACATGATCCATGACATTTCATGAAAAGAGCCTTTTTTAACTGCAGGACTTTGCCTACCTATTTGTTGCTGTTGTTAGTGACTAACAACCCAAATTCTTAGTAGATCATTGCAGACATTTTGTCACCTGTATGCACAGATAGTATATCTTTACCGATCTGTGTTCAGCTTTGCTGTCCTTATCCTCAACGATCTGTCTATTTATATCTATCTTTCTGGAAACCGCACTTGGAACTGTGTGTAAGTCCAAGAGAAACGAAATTCCGCCGTCAGATTCCCTATATGTTTACATACTTGGAAAAAGAAGCTGATTCTGGTTTTAATATGAGGTTTAATATTTTACTTTTTGCTTATTGGTGAGTGAACTCATTAACCTTAAACACTGCCTGCTCCATTTTAAACACTCCTACTGACTTCCTTTAGTTTTTATTTAAATATTAGGCGCTACACTGTTTGATCAGTCTGTTTAATTATCTATAAGTTCTATTACAGAGTGCTACTACTGCTACTCCTAATAATAACAATAATAATAATTATTATTATTATAAATGAGTGGGCCTATGTATGGGCCGTTTTTCTCAGTGCAAAAATTGTGGATCAAAAATGTGGAACCATTTTTGGTGATGTGATATTCAACTACACCATTTTAATCAACCTCACTAGTGTATGTAGCCCACTGGTTTAGATAAACAGATGGATAGATCGATATCGCCGTGATCGACCGTCAGCCACGCGCACGTTATGTTATTGTTATTTATGACTTTATTTTTTCACTGAGCCTTTTTTTTTTTTTTTTTCATTTCACCCTGAAGTCTCTTGAGCTGCGTCATGGAAGCGCCAGAATCACATAAAAATATAATTTACAGTGTTGCCATAGTTCTATATATCACAATAACACAGGCCCTGAGAGGCGTAAAGGAGACTTTGACTTCATTCACTCTTGTGTTTTCAATATGGCGTTTGGATGCTTGGGGAAAGCAGTGTTTCCAGAGGAAGTTTATAAATTATTCCAAGCCCAGGATGAGTATGCATAGGCTATATTTTAGCAATAACAACCCCCCCAACGTTAGCAACTAATATTTTACAAATGTGATGTTACCGGCGCAATTACGCAAAGAAAAGACTGCAAAGTAAGGATGAAGGAAATCCTACAGAATATCACAGGGCCGCAGACACACTGTATCTATTTATAGAGAGAGAACAGAAATATTATTTAAATATTTCAGATATACCACATGCGATAAAACACCGTGAGAGGGTCATAGTTTTCACTCTAGAATACATCTAATAGGTAACACACACTATTAGTGTATCTGGAATAGGCTATCCTTACATTATGTATTGAAAATTCCCATAAAAAAATCCCATAAATTTCAATTAACCACATATACAATGCCCACATACTTTTATTGTGAAAGTACAGCAACTGGAAAAATCCCGCGCGGGTATTTACGTTATTATAATGTGTCTCGTCTTATTAATTAATCTGGCCTCTTCCCTGTTTAACCTTCTGTTTTTGTAAACAAGTCCATACAGTACAACTGACCTGCTTCCCTGCTCCTGCTCTCCCTCTCCCTTCAACGTGTGTGTGTATGTGCCTGTCTGTCTCTCGTTGCGTGTTACATCATCACGCAATAGCTGTCCTCCCGTGGCCTAGTGAACTGGCTCTAAGCGCTGCACCAATTTAGCTATCTACTACACACACGTTGCTTTGAATCAGGGGATGCAGACACACGCAGTCGACGGGCGCACACATCCAGTCACGGAAGCAGCGCTGCTGTACAGTAAAGGCTGCATACAGCAGAGCTGGTGAAATATTCACAAAGCAGAAGTCTGACACATGCAGCATCACACAGGAGTTGCAGCCCTGCAGCTTCAGCACCTGCTTCAGACTTAGAAGTGTTTTTTTTGGTGATTAAAATATAATAAATATTAAGTAATCCACTTCCATGTCTTTCTTTATAATATCTCCTTATGGTGCGTAATTATCTCCAAATTTCTGCGCTTCTGCGTAAAAATGGCACACTTTGGCTTTTTGTGTCAAACCACATGCTCTTTCCTATATGGGGGCAAAGTGAAGGTGAGCTAACACAAAATAATGGTGAGTGGATTAAGATGGTTTTAACCTCCACTACACATCCGTCCATGAGCCCTGTTGGCCCCGTGGCGCGCCAGAGCGAGACTCCAGGAGCAAACATTTCATCTTCTCTGGGAACAAACTGTGTCAAATAAGAGCAGATAATGAAATATTACACCAGGAGTGTTTTCTCAAGAGCTGACCAGCTGTCGACATCAGCACCGGTATAATCACCGACCTGAAGCAGGCAAAATACAGCCCCTGTCTCACCCCGCTGACACCTTCCTGTCCGCTCACCGTAATTACGAGGATGAGTGTGAGAGAGGTCAGATGGACACGCAGGGCCTCGTGTGCGCATGTTCCAAAGCACTGACATTAGAGAGTGTGCAACATCTGAACAAACTGTTTGATCTCATAAACAACATACAGAAATGTTTGTGTGTGTGTGTGTGTGTGTGTGTGTGTGTGTGTGTGTGTGGCTTACACACGCTTTCTGAAATTGAAACACTCTCCACCCAAAGCCATACAACTGTTATTCTACTGTATTTGGGTTGTTGTTACTGTATCCTCTGATTGATTACCATAATCCCAATGTAGAGACCCTTTTAAATCAATAACACTTCCAACTTTAGTTTTGTGGCAACATTAATTAGCCTAATTAAGTATAAACCCCGGGTTTATAGTGGCACTACAGGCCCAGGATGCTGGACGTTATTTAATAAATTTATTTCCAAACAAATTACTTTTTTGCAAAACGAAATTTATTCTTGTTGAAAAACAAACTGTGTAAAAATATCACACTTCAATTACACAATTCTTGCCCAAAAAATGTACAATGTTTTATTACTGAAATAAACACACACTGCATATTATTATTATTATTATAAATGTATGACTTGGCTCTCTCGTGTTTTTTTAATACAAACTTCAAATCAAAACCATTTAAAAAAGTTTTGATTTGCCAAACTAATAAAAAGAAAACATGGATGTGTTTGACACAAATACATTATTAGCCTATTTTAAAAACATGTGATCATTTATAACCTGTCCATTAAGTCCTGAGACGCCCTAAAACAGTGACTGAAATGAATTACTTCATGGAAAATACAAGGAAAAGTTCGTGGTCAACAGTCTGATTCACACCGAGAAAAATGAACATAAATATATCTTTTTAAACAGCATGAATATAGGCACAAATAGTGTTTCTTTATGTCCATCATTCAGCTGCGTGCTATCAAACAAACATACAAAAATAATCCTACCTTCAAAGAGGGGCGTTTTTTTGTTTTTGTTGCTTTCTTTTTTTAGTTTCTTGAAAAGTTTGTTGTTAAGACATTTAACAGTCGCTATGCCGCTGACAGCTCTGTTTGGAAAGTTTTATACCGGGTGTAAAACAGCTCCGGGATGGACGGTCTGCGGCTGACCGGCCGCTGAGGGCCCCAGAGAGGACGGTAAGACCGGGATAACTGCCGGAGAAGTCCTGGAGGGGCTCAGGGACCCCCCGATGATACTCTCTATGGAGAAGGGAGACCGCTGCACCGGAGAGCTGGACTTTTGCACCGGGGCTGCAGCCTGCACGCTGGCTGATCCCAGACTGGAGCTGAGCTGAGGGTAAAACCTACTCCTGGCTAAGTCCGTGGTGGTGGGCATCAAAGACGGTGCAGGGATAATGGTTCCTGTGTGTGCGTGTGAATGCCTGGAGTGCTGCTGTTGTTGCTGCTGCTGCTGCTGTTGGAACGCAAAAAGTGCAGAGTGTGTGTGGTAGGACTGGAGCTGGATGCCGTATCCTCCGCAGCCGTACGGTCCGTACCCATACGCAGCAGCGGCGGGGATAAAATTGTTGTGTTCCCGCAGCAGGTCCTGCGCCTGCTGCCGCTTGAAGCGCTTCCTCCGCCTCAGAAAGCTCCCGTTGTCAAACATATCAGCCGACTCCGGGTCCAAGGTCCAGTAGTTGCCCTTCCCAGGGTTCCCGGGCTCCCTCGGTATCTTCACGAAGCAGTCATTTAGGGACAAGTTGTGTCTGATGGAGTTCTGCCAGGCCGGGAACTTCTCCCTGTAGTACGGGAAGCGGTTGCTGATGAAGTCGCAGATCTCGCTGAGAGTCAGCCTCTTTTTGGGACTCTGCAGGATGGCCATGGTGATTAAGGCGATGTAGGAGTAAGGGGGCTTCACCAGGGTGTTCTTGCCCGCCGGCTTGTAGGTATCCCTTGAGGAGGTGGAGCTGTCCAGGCACGGAGGAGGAGAGCCAGCCAGGAGGATGCCGTCGTGCATCTGTGCCACCTCGTCCACGTAGGAGCGCGTCTGGTTGTCTCCATCCTCCCCTTCGCCGACCACGTCTATGTCGGTCTCTTCCGAAAGGATGGAGGCATCCGACATCTCTGAGCTCAGAGTCATGGCTCACACACGGCTGTGCCCCTCCGACGCCAGATGAGGAAGACGATGAGATGCACAAGCTGCCCTGCCCTCCCTTTTCAAAAACTCATATGAGGAGGGGGAGAGGAGAGGAGCACGTGTCGCCGTCGCTGAGAGATGTCCCCCTGTTTTCTCGCTATTTCCATATGTTTTCAGGGTTTTCTTTTTAAATAGCCGACTAACGAGCAGTCCCGTCGATGCCAAGCGGGGAAAATGTGCAGGGAAACCTGCAAACGGGTCAAACCTGAATCACAGAGGGGGCGGATCTTCTCCCGTTATTTATACCAGCGCCCTGATCACATGGGGAGGAAACGTCACCGAGGCAAATGAAAAGAGAGAAAAAAAATTAAATAACACAAAAGGTCTTTGAAAATTAACTGTGAGTGTTTTTTTTTTAAGTTTGGTGTGGCCTACATCCTTTTAGTGGTCATGCATGGTGGCCTATAGCGCGCATCAATCTGAAGCTTTTATTCCACCACAGTGTTTTGCGCAAAAATAGATGTTAGAATTTAAAAAAAATCTTAAGGAAAGTCTAATCCCTGGTACAGCCATTGCTAAGATGGACGAGGATATCTTGATTATTTATTCAGGCTTTCATTAACAAGAAGTGCACACATCTTCATTTTTTTAATGTGCAGAATTAATACCTCCAAATACTTGGGATTAAAAATAGGTTGCTGCTATGATATAAAATTTTAATATGGAAGAAGATATTTAATATGAATGCGTTGTGAAATAGTGCGGGAGAGTGGTGCACCATATCCAGGCAGCTCAGTTTGCGTGATCCGGTAGTTATCTAGATTATCCGCGAGCCATTTGTAATGGAAAAGAGTCAGCTGTTAACTCGAATCAGTCACGGGTCACGCAGAGCATGCAAGCCCCAGATATAAGGCCTCTGCCGTGAGCATGGTGCTGTGTGTGTGGTGCATGGACATTTTTATTAATCTTATTTTATTAGTTACGATGATGGAATAAATATTATGAATAGGTGTCTAAAACATTTTTTTTTAAGTTGTAGGTAATTTATATAGAAGCAACAGAGTGTCAGTGAAAACTGTACATTGTGTGAAGGCCCTTTAAAAAGTATGATAATAAATAATATATATAATTGTCTAGACTGTATATTCACATGTAACCTAAATAAAACACGTGCTCACGTTTGTTGAATTTATTATTATTCGTTGCGGTTCACTTCCTACACTTGTTATTAGAATATAGATGCGTGAGAGTGAAGTAATACAGTATGAATTATGTTTTATTGTGATTTAATTTTGACGGACCACCTCGCTGCCGTTCATATGGGACTGTTAGTGATATGGTTGCCTGAACATTATTTTTTAAGTTCTTTGTTTTTTTTTTCTTTTCTTTATTTTTTTGTCAGAGAAAACAGCAGATATGCTCTTTTTTTCTTTCGAGCAAAAGCAATTCAAACAAAGCAAGCACGTGTACCAAAAAATAATGCAGTTTAATTAAATTATTAAAGAAAAAACAACTTTCCCAAACTTTCTTTCTCACCCTATCTGTTCTAAAAAATAGAAGCCAGTTTTCCTAAACGCAGTTGGCATAAAAACACACCCATACTTCTAACAAAAATCTCTATATAAAGTGGTTTCTCATGACTTTATTTTTAAATGATAGATGTATTCAGGTTTGTGGCCCTTCAGAAACTTTTTCAGAGGTTCCCATTTGAGCAGCGCCATCTAGCGACGAACTTGTTTCACAGTTAAAACACTTGAGGCCTATAAAAGTTAAAAACTGTTGCAGCTGTGTCACAACCAGCGACTGATTAACTTCTCTTGAACTAATCGTTTTTAGTATTGATTTAGGTGTATATAAAAGTATAAGTATTGACTTTTTCTAACTTGTCATCCTTGAAATAAAGCTCCACACTATATAATACTGCACTCATAATTTATTTTCATGCACAATAAGCGTCACTTATTTAAGGTTTAGTTTTAAGGGAAAATTACACGTATTTTCTGTAATTTCTAAAATAGAATAGAATCATTAGCCTATAATAAAAAATAAATAGATAAATAAATAAATAAATAAATAAAAAGTGATTGTGATTTGCCTCGATTAAAACTGATTGAAGGCTGTATTTAATTTATTAGACTATGTCTCACCATGACAGAGTATTCTACACCATCACCTTATAATAAACTCATATACCTTATATTGATTATTGTAATTTAACTTATGGACAAAGTATAATCTGATGAGAAACCTCAAAAAGTTAGTCACACACTCTCTACCCACACTTTATATGAATTGATTAATAAAATAAAAGTGTTTTATGAGTTACTATTGCAAATAAACTGAATGAATTATTGCAGCAATGTTGCAACAAGACATGATGCTGTTTTAATCGAACAGTTCTGGCCGATCAGTTTCCATAAGCTATTGGCATTGATGTTATCCTAATAATCAATAACCAATGCATATGGATTGTGCGATGATTTCAGATGTGTTGTCCTCCATCAGGAATGATAGCAGGCTAAAACACTCCACCGTGGATTTATCAAATTCACCTTCAGTCTCCAGTGAAAAGAAGGTGATGTGCCTGTTTCTAGTCAGCACGCTACGGACTCGTGCGCATTAAACAGTTACATGCAAGCCTACATTAACTCTCTTTATCTTACTCCTCAGATCGTCATTGAGACCAGCATGCACGAAACCAGAATGCAACATCAAAGATTAGTTTTCATGCAGCAAGTTAATTAATTGTTGATTGGTTTGTTTTAAATGCATAGAATATGTTCAACATTACATTTCAGTTTAATAAGGCGGGGACTGCAAAGCCAAAATGATCCAATTTAAACACAAGACGTATGTGAATGCACTGACTAACACTGTCAGGGGGGAACAAGTCCGCATTAAATGAATGAAGACCAGGTGATTTTTTTTCCTCTCCTTGAGCCGACACTTCGAACAGCAGCTCTCGCATGTGTGGTAAACCGCCTGTAAAGTGTTTCTAAATTCCCCCTCTGCGATCCGAGGGTGTTTCCGTGCCACGGGGTACCAAGAAAGCACTTAGCTGGTTAAACGCAATCCCTGCCTGCCTGCCTCCTGCTCTGACAAAACCCCTGAGTGTCACCAAAAACGGGCCGTCTGAGAGGGGTCTGTGGGGCATGTGATTAATGTGTATCACATGCAGGAGAGGCGAGACAAAGCGCCATACTAACAGAGATACTGTGCGTGAGGTGGACTGGAGTGAAGGAAATTAGCCTGTGGGCCTATATACATGAAGAATACCGCATCCAAAAAAGTCTCTGTTACATTTGAAATATTTTTACTGCATAAAATGTCAATTGGAATATTTAGAATATAAATTAGAATGGGTTGCACTTTGTTATATTGCACCTGAAGGGAACAAACACCCATTTCTTCGGGTATCCCAATGTCTCCAAAATATGGCTCTGAAAGGGCTTTATACCTGTTGCCGTTTCTCATAGCACCACTATGATCTTAAATTTTGTGCTGTCGATCATTGACGCCTCTTTTCAAATGTCCCCTGTCACATTACTGAACCAAACTTAGCTGATTCTGACTGTCTCCAGATTTTCCCCAAATTTATACCCTACATTATTTTTTGTAATCCCTGTGAACTTCTCATCGCACCTATTTTACATGCATTAATGAATTCAGCTTAAATTTACACGCTTTACTTTTACATGGGGGTAATTATCACACACTAATTAGAGCCAAAGACAAGAAACATTTTCTAAAGCCCCCCAAAAGTTCCTTAAACTGCACCGAAGGTCCTTGATGCAGCCTCAGGTCAGGTCCCCGATCAGTCAGCTGGGAGAAGGCATTATCATGGGGATGCACGTTATGCGTGTTATAAGGCTATAATATATACATATATATATATTCTATTTAGGAATAAATATAAGTGCTATTGTATATGTTGTTTTTATTGGCTTACATATAGGACATTGTACCTGGCGCTGTCCCTAAAGGTTTTTTTCCTGTCTTCAAGAGAACATGCTTTTATGTTTATTTATTTTTTTGGCTGTGCATCAGTGTCATAGGGTGAAAGGTGGAGTGTAGGTGCTGCATATATTTGCTTCATATGCAAGTTTGTGTTAACACACAAAAGGAAAATATTTAAATTAAATACCAGATGAAAAAGGAAAACCATCATCATTGTTGTTATGTATATGGCATGTAAGCTAAGTGTTGTGATAATTTATTAATTATTCATTTTGCTTGGTTTTCATGCAGTTTGATTTGGGAGATAATCTATGCACAACCCAAATGTGTATCATTTTAATTAATCAAACACTTCTATGTAAAATCCCTCTGATGTTGATACCATATACAGGCAGTAACATCACTGATAAGTTTTAGTGACAGTCCATCAGAATCACAGTGAAAATGCTTCTTTACAAATTTACTGTTTTATGCTTCAATATTCAACATCACACAGAAAGAAATGTTCAGAGATACACTAGTTTTTTTTAACTTACAGCACCCTCAGTAGACCAGAATGCAATGCACTCACTCACAAGACAACCACACCACACACACTACTGGGTCTACCGGAGTAAAGCTGATCTGATCTGAGGTGAAATATCCTTTGAATTCAAAGAAAGTCCACAAATTGATATCATATCCCCATTTGGCTTTTTTTCCTACTTTTTTTTCTCTTTCACTGCAGCAAACAGCAGCTTAGACTGAATGATGAGAGTAGAAATGGTTACAGGGGAAAGTTCCTCGATGGGAGGACCAGTGACTGTAAAATCTGACATGTTGATCTTGTTTAAAAAAATCCAGGAACGCGATGACCTGTAAGTAAACGTAACCATTAGTCTTAAGATATGGTTACTTACTAATAGTGGTGTTTACTCATAAAGACTAATACATATTTCCTCCAGGTAATCAGTTGATTTGTAAGATCCACTTGTCAGATTTTCCAGTGGCCATGTACACATGTTGGATATGATGGACATAATTTGCCTTTATGTGCTTATGAGGTTTACGGAGAATAGAACAAATGGATCATTTATGGTCTTGAGTTATTTGTCATCATGAAACACGAGTGAAGCTGAAAGCAAATACTCCAATGACCAAATCAAAGAGCAATTTGGGGAAAGAAGATACATAAACCACATGACATTACCACCATGCATGGTGTTTTTGTATTTTCAAATTTGATGTAGAATAAGATTCTAATAACGTGCCAAATATTCCTGATAAATTACAACAATTACATTAAATGTAATCTAATCACAC